GCACCTCCGGCAGGCAAGGCTGCATTGGGTGGGTCATGTAGCCCGCATGCCCAGCCACCGCATTGCCCAAGCAGCGTCTGTTTGGCTACATAGAGGGGGCTAAACGGGCGCGGCACGGGCTAGAGAAGAGATGGAGTGACGTGGTACAGGAGGACGTGGAGTTGAGTGGACTTGCCGATGACCGGTAACAGCGGTGTCAAAATCGGCCTCTGTGGAGGAGGCTCGTGAAGGACGCTGCTACTGGGCAGTTGGAGGCAGTCACCCTCCAACAACAACGGAGGGCGGAGGAGCGACGCTCACAACAACGAGCGGAGCGCCGGGTGGCTAAAGCACAGCAGGTTGGCACAGTAGGGGGCACAGGTGGTGCATCAGCCACTCAGTCGTCTCAGTCAGTCGACACGTGTCACCTGCTGGGTCTGTCCCGTGACCTGCCAGCGGGGGTTCGACACTTCACGTTGCCTTACCGTGCACCTAGCCTGGCACAGGCGCCGTGGTGACGTCACCGTCACTTCGTGGCAAATGGCGGGTATTGGGATGTGTCTGTGTGTACATGCGTATGTGGGAGCGGTGACGTAGCGGTTAGCGCAACGCTGCGCTATGAACCCGCCGACCCGGGTTCGATTCCCGCTCACGGCCAACACCAGTGACGATTATCTGAACCGGTCCCGGGCCTCCCCTAGGTCGACTCGGCCTCAAACGAGTACCTGGTGCGGTGCGTAAACATCGCCACCGGGGAGACAAAGGCGGCCGGGCGTGGTGCTGGCCACCCACCCCCTCGTGTGCTGTGCCGGTCTTCATAGGGCGCTGCTCGCTAACAGCACTTGCCCCTACAGTCTGTTACAGGCTACACGGGGGGGTTTTGTCCGTGTATGAGAGTGTATGTATGCTAATGAGGTATGTATGCTGGTGTGTTTGTATGGTCAACCAAGTTATGTATGCCGATGATCTGGTGATTGCTGCTCACTCAGAGGGGGAGGAGCGTGCCACTAAGAGATGAGGCCTTACCATCAGCCCCACCAAAACTAAGCACCTGCCTGGGTATTTTGTACCATCGGACACTCCACCCCCACAACTCCCAATCGGTGATGGGGCAGTTGTGGAGAGAGTGGAGAGTTTCCCATACCTGGGCAGTGTGCTTATGACCGGCTCCGGTTTAACAGCGGAGGTCTCGCTCCGGATCAGTCGAGCGGCAATATCTTTTCATCGGTTGCGTAACGCCGCTGTGTGGAAGCTACCTGGTACTGTCGCTCCGCGCGAAGCTTCAGGTCTTCTCGGCCGCGGTCATCCCCTGCCTTCTCTACGCTTGCGAAACGTGGACCCCCCCCTAATGGAACATCTTCGCCGGTTAGAAACATTTAGGCTATAAACATTAAACGCGGTGTGTGTGTGTGCGCGCGCGTTTGTGTCGGCAGGGCGGAGGAACCGGGGCGAGGGTCAAGGGAGTAATTCACATTCTTGGCTCTTTCGGTAAAGTCACCACCACGTTGAAGGGAAACAATAAAATAATAAAAAAATATATAAAACAGTTTAACACGTTAGGCTTTCGCGACCAATATTATTCATCATAAAGGTTTTTGTGGGTTAGATCGCGTTCATTTATAAATGTGTCGTAACCCTCCACCACCCGACACGGCCAATCAGCAAAAAAAAGTGTCACGTTGACAAAAGACAAATATTGATTTAAAGCTTTCGTGACTGCAGTAATTCATATTCTTAGTTTTTTCGGTAAAGTCACGTTGAAGAGAAACAACAAAATAATAAAATATATATAAAACAATAAAAAAATTCTCACGACGTTTCGACCATAACTCTGAAGATGACCGTTTGAGTTATGGTCGAAACGTCGTGACAATTTTTAATTGTTATATATATTTTATTATTTTGTTGTTTCTCTTCAACGTGACTTTACCGAAAAAACTAAGAATATAAAAGACAAATAGTTCACTACTTTAGCCCACGAGTTGAAGAGTGTACTCAAACTGTAAATGTGGATTCACTCTTCAACACACCGGTGGGCTAAAGTAGTGAACTATTTTGTCTTTTGTGAACGTGCCACTTTTTTTGCTGATTGGCCTTGTCGGGTGGTGGAGGGTTACGACACATTTATAAATAAACGCGATCCAACCCACAAAAACCTTTATCATGTATATATATAAAACAAGAAAAATTCTCACGAACGTTTCGACCATAGCACGAACGATTTATGCGAACCGACGCACCTGATGACGACCGTTTGTGTTACGGTCGAAACGTCGTGAGAAATTTTTGTGTGTTATTGTTTTATATATATATTTTAATTATAATTTTATTTTGATTTAAAGCTTTCGTGACTGCAGTAATTCATATTCTTAGTTTTTTTTCGGTAAAGTCACGTTGAAGAGAAACAACAAAATAATAAAAAATATATATAAAACAATAAAAAATCATTCTCACGACGTTTATATATTTCATTATTTTGTTGTTTCTCTTCAACGTTGACTTTACCGAAAAAAACTAAGAATATATAATATTATTTTATTGTTTCTCTGGTCCTCGCTGTGAAGTCACGTGGGTCGAGAGAGAGAGAGAGAGAAAAAAACCACGTGTTCACGCACGGATCACCGCGACGTTTCGATCGCAGGCGACTCGGCAGAATCGCCCTTCGGGGGGACTGCCTGTGGACGAGGAGTTGCGTTGGGGTCCGGCGATCGCGAGAAATCCGTCGGGCTCACAATCGCCGCCCGCCTCTCTCTTGCTCCGACGCGGCAACAACAACGCCTCGTCCCGCAGCAGGCAATCGGATTCTCTCGCCCCGAAGAAGAGAAACGAAAGCTTCAGATCCAAGAAAGAACAAAAGCGGCGGGAGAAGCGGGGAACCCGCGGGGAACCCTCGGGGACCCGGACCCACCCGTCGCCGCCTTCTTCCGGGCAGTTGCCGGCCGTCCCGGTCGGCGCTACACGGGGGTCGGGGTGCTGTGCTCAGGCGAGGCTAAGGCGACCGAGGGGATCGCGAGGACGGACCCCGTGAGAACACGAGGGTGGTTCAAATAAAGAAGGCGCCGCTGCTCCTGAAACGCCTCGTCTGCCCGCACCTCTGGCACGACGTGTATGCGTGTTAGTGTGTGTGTGTGTTAATGTGTGTTAGTGTGTGTGTGTTAGTGTGTGTGTGTGTTAGTGTGTGTGTAGTGTGTTAAGTGTGTGTGTTAGTGTGTGTGTTAGTGTGTGTGTGTGTTAGTGTGTGTTAAAGTGTGTGTGTTAGTGTGTGTGGGGAGCGATAGTGTAGTGGTTAGCGCTACGCTGCGCTATGAACCCGGTCACCCGGGTTCGATTCCCGCTCACGGCCAACACCAAGTGGCGATTATCTGAACCGGTCCCGGGCCTCCCCTAGGTCGACTCGGCCTCAAATGAGTACCTGGTGCAGTGTGTAAACATCGCCACTGGGGAGACAAAGGCGGTCGGGCGTGGTGCTGGCCACCCACCCCCTCGTGTACCGTTCCAGCCTTCATAGGTGCTCGCTAACAGCACTTGCCCCTACAGTCTTTTAAGGCTATATGGGGGATCTTTGTTAGTGTGTGTTAGTGTGGGGGCTAAACGGGTGCAGCACAGGCTAGAGAAGAGATGGAGTGATGTGGTACAGGAGGACGTGGAGCTGAGTGGACTTGCCGATGACTGGTACCAGCGGTGTCAAGATCGGCCTCTGTGGAGGAGGCTCGTGAAGGACGCTGCTACTGGGCAGTTGGAGGTAGTCGCCCTCCAACAACAACGGAGGGCGGAGGAGCGACGCTCACAACAGCGAGCGGAGCGCCGGGTGGCTAAAGCACAGCAGGTTGGCACAGTAGGGGGCACAGGTGGTGCACCAGCCACTCATCTCGGTCATCTCAGTCAGTCGACCCGTGGCACCTGGGTCTGCCCCGTGACCTCCTGCCGGCGGGCGTTCGACACTCCACGTGGCCTCAAGGTGCACATAGCCTGGCACAAGCGTCGTGGTGACGTCACCGCCACTTAGTGGCGAATGGCGGTTGTTGTTGTTGGTGTGTGTTAGTGTGTGTGACCACATCTACAGCACTGACATTAAGGGGGCACCATCAACAACACCACCACCACCACGATCAACACCACAACCACCACCAACATTTTCAACACCATCACCAGCATCATCACCATCAACACCACCACCACCATCACCACTACCATCATCATGATCATCATCATCACCACCATCACACAGGTGCAGTTGGACAGCTATCTGGGTCGGTCACACAGAGGAAGGAGGAGGATCGGGGGGGTGGGTGGGGGTGGTGTCATGGGGCACGGCAAAGCTTGGGACCAAACTGGGAGTGGTGGTTTGCGGGCAACATCTGGCGCAGCGCGACGCATGTTTGCGTGTGATTATTATTCGTTTTTTGTTTTTAATCTTAAAACCGTGAGGCTCGTACAAAACTCTTGTCGCGACGCGCGCAGGGTACGGCAGTCACACGCGTGGTAAGGTACTCACACACGTGGTAAGGTACTCACACGCGTGGTAAGGTACTCACACACGTGGTAAGGTACTCACACGCGTGGTACTCACACACGTGGTAAGGTACTCACACACGTGGTAAGGTACTCACACGCGTGGTAAGGTACTCACACACGCGTGGTAAGGTACTCACACACGTGGTAAGGTACTCACACACGTGGTAAGGTAATCACACGTGTGGTAAGGTACTCACACACGTGGTAAGGTACTCACACACGTGGTAAGGTAATCACACGTGTGGTAAGGTACTCACACACGTGGTAAGGTACTCACACACGTGGTAAGGTACTCACACACGTGGTAAGGTACTCACACACGTGGTAAGGTACTCACACACGTGGTAAGGTACTCACACACGTGGTAAGGTACTCACACGCGTGGTAAGGTACTCACACGTGTGGTAAGGTACTCACACACGTGGTAAGGTACTCACACACGTGGTAAGGTACTCACACGTGTGGTAAGGTACTCACACACGTGGTAAGGTACTCACACACGTGGTAAGGTACTCACACACGTGGTAAGGTACTCACACACGCGTGGTAAGGTACTCACACACGTGGTAAGGTACTCACACACGTGGTAAGGTACTCACACACGTGGTAAGGTACTCACAGGTGTGGTAAGGTACTCACACACGTGGTAAGGTAATCACACACGTGGTAAGGTACTCACAGGTGGTACGGTACTCACAGGTGCGGTACTCAGAGGTACGTTACTCACACACGTGGTAAGGTACTCACACACGTGGTAAGGTACTCACACACGTGGTAAGGTACTCACACACGTGTGGTAAGGTACTCACACGTGTGGTAAGGTACTCACACGCGTGGTAAGGTACTCACACACGTGGTACGTTACTCACACGTGTGGTAAGGTACTCACACACGTGGTAAGGTACTCACACACGTGGTAAGGTACTCACACGCGTGGTAAGGTACTCACACGCGTGGTAAGGTACTCACACACGTGGTAAGGTACTCACACACGTGGTAAGGTACTCACACACGTGGTAAGGTACTCACACGTGTGGTAAGGTACTCACACGCGTGGTAAGGTACTCACACACGTGGTAAGGTACTCACACACGTGGTAAGGTACTCACACACGCGTGGTAAGGTACTCACACACGCGTGGTAAGGTACTCACACACGTGGTAAGGTACTCACACACGTGGTAAGGTACTCACACACGTGGTAAGGTACTCACACACGTGGTAAGGTACTCACACACGTGGTAAGGTACTCACACACGTGGTAAGGTACTCACACACGTGGTAAGGTACTCACACACGTGGTAAGGTACTCACACGCGTGGTAAGGTACTCACACGCGTGGTACGGTAATCACACACGTGGTAAGGTACTCACACACACGTGGTAAGGTACTCACACACACGTGGTAAGGTACTCACACACACGTGGTAAGGTACTCACACACACGTGGTAAGGTACTCACACACGTGGTAAGGTACTCACACACGTGGTAAGGTACTCACACACGTGGTAAGGTACTCACACACGTGGTAAGGTACTCACACACGTGGTAAGGTACTCACACACGTGGTAAGGTACTCACACACGTGGTACTCAAGCGTGTCACTCATGCATAGGACGGGTGCACGCACGCACGCACGCGCGGCACTGTACTCAATCGTGCTACGGCACTCCTGCGATACGGTCCTCACGAGCGAGGTACTCACGAGCGAGGTACTCACGAGCGAGGTCCTCACGAGCGAGGTCCTCACGAGCGAGGTCCTCACGAGCGAGGCCCTCACGAGCGAGGCCCTCACGAGCGAGGCCCTCACGAGCGAGGCCCTCACACGAGCGAGGCCCTCACGAGCGAGGCCCTCACGAGCGAGGTCCTCACGAGCGAGGTCCTCACGAGCGAGGTCCTCACGAGCGAGGTCCTCACGAGCGAGGTCCTCACGAGCGAGGTCCTCACGAGCGAGACACGGTCCTCACGAGCGAGGCCCTCACGAGCGAGGCCCTCACGAGCGAGGCCCTCACACGAGCGAGGCCCTCACGAGCGAGGTCCTCACGAGCGAGGTCCTCACGAGCGAGGTCCTCACGAGCGAGGCCCTCACACGAGCGAGGCCCTCACACGAGCGAGGCCCTCACGAGCGAGGTCCTCACGAGCGAGGTCCTCACGAGCGAGGCCCTCACGAGGGAGGCCCTCACGAGGTCCTCACGAGCGAGGCCCTCACACGAGCGAGGCCCTCACACGAGCGAGGTCCTCACGAGCGAGGCCCTCACGAGCGAGGCCCTCACGAGGTCCTCACGAGCGAGGTCCTCACGAGCGAGGTCCTCACGAGCGAGGCCCTCACACGAGCGAGGCCCTCACACGAGCGAGGTCCTCACGAGCGAGGTCCTCACGAGCGAGGTCCTCACGAGCGAGGTCCTCACGAGCGAGGTCCTCACGAGCGAGACACGGTCCTCACGAGCGAGGCCCTCACGAGCGAGGCCCTCACGAGCGAGGCCCTCACACGAGCGAGGCCCTCACGAGCGAGGTCCTCACGAGCGAGGTCCTCACGAGCGAGGTCCTCACGAGCGAGGCCCTCACACGAGCGAGGCCCTCACACGAGCGAGGCCCTCACGTGCGAGGTCCTCACGAGCGAGGTCCTCACGCGCGAGGCCCTCCCGCGCGAGGCCCTCACGAGGTCCTCACGAGCGAGGCCCTCACACGAGCGAGGCCCTCACACGAGCGAGGCCCTCACACGAGCGAGGTCCTCACGAGCGAGGCCCTCACGAGCGAGGCCCTCACGAGGTCCTCACGAGCGAGGTCCTCACGAGCGAGGTCCTCACGAGCGAGGCCCTCACACGAGCGAGGCCCTCACACGAGCGAGGCCCTCACACGAGCGAGGTCCTCACGAGCGAGGCCCTCACGAGCGAGGTCCTCACGAGCGAGGTCCTCACGAGCGAGGCGCTCTACACGCCAGCGAGCGGTACTGGATTCACACACACACGCGCGCCACTGTACCCACGCGCTGCTGCTCACTGTTTTGCTCACCACGGCGCTCACCACGGCACTCACCACGGCACTCACCACGGCGCTCACCACGGCGCTCACCACGGCGCTCACCACGGCGCTCACCACGGCGCTCACCACGGCGCTCACCACGGCGCTCACCACGGCGCTCACCACGGCGCTCACCACGGCGCTCACCACGGTACCCGCGGACGCAGAACAAAACGACGGAAACGTAAAAAAAAAAGTTTAAAACCACGACGACGACGACGAAGCAGGCGGCAACAGAGACCACGACGGGAGGTGGCGGTGGTGGGGGAGGAGGCGGTGGGGGAGGCGGTGGTGGTGGGGGAGGAGGAGGTGGTGGGGGAGGAGGCGGTGGTGGTGGTGGGGGAGGAGGCGGTGGTGGTGGTGGGGGAGGAGGTGGTGGAGGTGGGGGAGGAGGCGGTGGTGGTGGTGGGGGAGGAGGCGGTGGTGGTGGGGGAGGTGGCGGTGGTGGTGGGGGAGGCGGTGGTGGGGGAGGAGGAGGCGGTGGTGGAGGTGGGGGAGGAGGCGGTGGTGGAGGTGGGGGAGGAGGCGGTGGTGGTGGGGGAGGTGGCGGTGGGGGAGGCGGTGGTGGGGGAGGAGGAGGCGGTGGTGGAGGTGGGGGAGGAGGCGGTGGTGGAGGTGGGGGAGGAGGCAGTGGTGGGGGAGGAGGCGGTGGTGGTGGGGGAGGAGGCGGTGGTGGTGGGGGAGGCGGTGGTGGGGGAGGAGGCGGTGGTGGGGGAGGAGGAGGTGGTGGGGGAGGAGGCGGTGGTGGAGGTGGGGGAGGAGGCGGTGGTGGGGGAGGAGGCGGTGGTGGAGGTGGGGGAGGAGGCGGTGGTGGAGGTGGGGGAGGTGGCGGTGGTGGGGGAGGAGGAGGCGGTGGTGGGGGAAGGTGGTGGAGGTGGAAGCGTGGAAACGTGGGGGGAGGAGGTGAGGTGGTGGAAGAGGTGGAGGTGGTAGAGGTGAAGGTGGTGGTAGAGGTGATGGTGGTAGTGGTGGTAGAGGTGGTGGTAGAGGTGGTAGAGGCGGTGGTAGAGGTGATGGTGGTAGAGGTGGTGGTAGAGGTGATGGTGAAGGTGGTGGTAGAGGTGATGGTGGTGATAGAGGTGATGGCGGTGGAGGTGAAGGTGGTAGCGGTGGAAGCGGTGGAGGTAGGGGGAGGAGGAGGAGTAGAGGTGGTGGAAGAGGTGGAGATGGAGGAGGTGGACGAGGTGGTGCAGGAGGTGCAGGCAAACCACGAGAAGCTGGAACTCCACTGTAAGTCAACCTCCTCAATCGCTCGGTGAAAATCACCGAGGCCTAGGGCTGTTGAAGAATTCCCCCAGGAGGCAACTCCCGGTAACCGAGTTCGATCCCCGTCTACGGCCGCCATCACCATCAGTGGTCTGGGTCCCTCCCTCCCTCCCTCTCTCCCCTCCATCTCCACGTGTGTGGTGTACGGCAAACATCAGCACTGGTGGTGAGCCCGGGGGAGACAAAGACGGCCGGGAGTAGCGTTCCAACCACCACAACCACCACCGCCGCCGCCTTCACCACCTATGTCGACTCGGCCTTAAATGAGCACCCAATGCAGTTTGCGTCCATGGCTGACACAAAAAGAATACCCTCATCAGCACCGGATAGGTGTTTGGGGTGGGGGGGGGGGGGTGGTGGTCACAGGAGAGATACAAAGGCGGCCGGGGGAGTCGTACTGATGACCACCAACACCACCAACACCACCAACACCACCCTTCCCACTACCCTCAAAGGCGCCATACAGCCACGCGAACAGCACTTGCCCCTACACAGACTGTGAGAGGCTACCGTGGAACGGGGAAGTAATCACGTGTTTAAAAAAGAAACGAAATATATAATAACAATATTAACAGGCGACGTTTCGGGAAACGGCCCCTTCTTCAGAGCGCGTAGGAATATATGCTTCACTATTATAAAGGCTCCCCAACACCCACCCCCGCCCCCCCCCCCCCCGTCCGTTCGCCCGCCCCCACAGACACACACACACACGCAGACAAACACACACACGCAGAGAGACACACACACACACACGCAGAGAGACACACACGCAGAGAGACATACAAACACGTCCAACCGCCCGCCGACCCCCCCACCCAGACACACAACAACCGCCATTAGCCATTAAGTGGCGGTGACGTCACCACGACGCTTGTGCCAGGCCATGTGCACCTTGAGGCCACGTGAAGCGTCGAACGCCCGCCGGCAGGTCACGGGGCAGACCCAGCAGGTGCCACGGGTCGCCTGACTGAGATCACCGAGATGACTGGCTGACGCACCACCTGTGCCCCCCTACTGTGCCAACCTGCTGTGCTTTAGCCACCCGGCGCTCCACTCGTTGTGAGCGTCGCTCCTCCGCCCTCCGTTGTTGTTGGAGGGCGACTGACTCCAACTGCCCAGTAGCATCCTTCACGAGCCTCCTCCACAGAGGCCGATCTTGACACCGCTGGTACCAGTCATCGGCAAGTCCACTCAGCTCCACGTCCTCCTGTACCACATCACTCCATCTCTTCCCTAGCCCGTGCCGCGCCCGTTTAGCCCCCTCGATCCGGCCGAACAAAAACTGTTTCGGCATGCGGTGGTTGGGCATGCGGGCTACATGACCCACCCAATGCAGCCTTGCCTGCCGGAGCTCACCGATGGGACCATGCCCAGATCTTTCAAGGATTTGTGAGCTCCGCACACAATCCAGCCTGGTTAAACCCAGGATGGATCGTAGGCAGGCCAGCTTAAATGTTTCTAACAGGCAAAGATGTTCCATTAGGGGGGTCCACATTTCGCAAGCGTAGAGAAGGGAGGGAATGACCGTGGCCGAGAAGACCTGAAGCTTAGTGCGGAGCAACAGACCAGGTAGCTTCCACACAGCGTTACGCAACCGATGAAAAGATATTGCCGCTCGACTGATTCGGAGTGAGACCTCTGCTGTTAAACTGGAGCCGGTCATAAGCACACTGCCCAGGTATGGGAAACTCTCCACTCTCTCCACAACTGCCCCATCACCGATTGGGAGTTGTGGGGGTGGAGTGTCCGATGGTACAAAATACCCAGGCAGGTGCTCAGTTTTGGTGGGGCTGATGGTAAGGCCTCATCTCTTAGTGGCACACTCCAGTCTCAGCAGCAGCGTCTCCAACTCCTCCTCTGAATGAGCAGCTATTACCAAATCGGCATACAAAACGTGGTAAAGCAATAGGGAGCCATCCCTTGACCGCACCCGGGCATCGATCAGCCTCCATATCTGTACCATATGGAGATTCCCCCGGTACAGCTATTGAAGGCTTCACGAACTACGTGGTCAAAATAGATGTTAAATAATGTGGGAGCCAGAGGACATCCCTGTCGCACCCCAAGGTGTACAGGGAATGGCTCTGACTCCCAGCCACGTAGTTTTACCCGGGCCCGCTCACCATCATTAAGGTCCTTAATGATTGTGAGTAGAGGGTCAGGTACTCCGAAAGCACGAATAACAACCCAGAGCCCAGGCCTACTGATGGTATCACAGGCCTTGACCAGGTCAATAAAACAGAGATGTAGGTCTTGCTGGAATTCCTACACCTCTGCTGTAGCAGACGGACAGAAAATATGGCATCTGTGCAGGACCGCCCTTTCCTGAAACCGCATAGGGGCTCCGCAAGCCTCTCCTCAGCGTGCCTGGCAAGGCGATGCTGAATAATCCTTGCCAGGACCTTTCCCGGGACACTGAGGAGTGAGATGCCCCTGTAGTTGTTACAGTCTGTGCGGTCCCCCTTCTTAAAGAGGGGGACCACCAGGGCATCCTTCCAATCCTGCGGAACCCGTCCAGTGGTCCAGACTGTTTTATGATGTCATATAGGGCAGTCTGTGCACAAACGCCACCCTCCCTCAGCATTTTGCTTGGGAGATGATCTGTGCCCGCTGCCTTTCCTGGTCTCAGACTCCGGATCGCCTTCAGTACTTCCTCAACAGATGGCACCTCAGCTAGCCACTCACAGGGGGTGACTTCTTCCAATGAGGCACCGCAGCCTCAGCAGGGTCATCCTCACTTTGTGCCACGATGTTTTCCTGGCTGAGGGATTTTCCCTCCCCCAGGACCTCACAGAAACGCTCAGCAAATCTGCAAACCTGTTCCTGGGGGTCGGAGATTGGATGACCGTTTTTCCCCTAATGATAGTAATAGGTGTGGCACTGCAGGTTACTTTGATGGAGTTAAATAGAGATTTGTGATCGCGGGCCACTGAGGCAGACTCTATCTCCTCAGCAACCCGCGACCACCACCCATCCTTGCAGCGCCTCACGGCTCTCTGAACCTCCGAGCGAAGACTGCGTTAAGCCTCCTCATTCTCTGACGTGGGATTCTGTAGCTGATGACAGTGGGCCCTGTCGCTTTTTCTCAACTATCCTGAATACCTCCTCTGTCAGCCAGGGTCTCTGGGGAGGTCTGGACCGCGTACCCAAAGCAGCCAATGCAGCTGCATGAGTGACAGTTCTAAACCTCGCCCATTTACCCTCGACATCCGGAGGAGTGGGGGACGATGCCAACCCCAGCAGCAGGCGATGATGAAATTCTCGCTTGCAACTTTCATCAGATAACTGAGACCAGGCCACTTTAGGTTGGAATGGGGTCCTGGGTGTACACCCACCACCGGAGTGGAAGAATGACAGGCACATCTTACAGATGACAAGTCGATGGTCAGAGGGCAGATCAGCTCCACGGTAGGTCCTGGTGTCAAGGACATGGGCTCGCATCCGCTGGTCCGTCACTATGTAGTCCAGCAGATGTTCTTGCTTGGACCCGGCATGCATCCGTGATGTTGTGTGGATGCGCCGATGCCGGAACAGCGTGTTGGTAATTACAAGCCCATGGGCTGCACAAAAATCTAGCAGCCTCCTACCGTTGTTATTGAGCTGATCTGGCCCATGCCCTCCAATCACTCCAGACCAGGTGCCAGCATCATGACCCACTCAGGCATTGAAGTCACCCAACATGATGACTCTATCCCGAGGGGCCACTTTAGCTAGCACCTGTGACAGGAGGTCATAGAAGGCACCTGACTCATCGGCTTTGCCTGCATCCCTCCACGGATGTTCGTCTTTGGTGGGGGCATAAGTAACCACGACCACCACTCCTCGCCTCCGATTGATGGGAAGGCGAGCCCAAAGTAGCCTGGGGCTTACAGCTTCCCACACCTCACCGCCACGCTCCCACGCCCCTTCATTCTTTACCCAGACACACCCACACTCGCCCACCCACACTTACCAACACACCCACCCACCTGCCCAGACACACACAACAACAACCGCCATTCGCCACTAAGTGGCGGTGACGTCACCACGACGCTTGTGCCAGGCCATGTGCACCTTGAGGCCATGTGAAGTGTCAAACGCCCGCTGGCAGGAGGTCACGGGGCAGACCCAGCAGGTGCCACAGGTCGAATGACTGAGATGACTGGCTGATGCACCACCTGTGCCCCCTACTGTGCCAACCTGCTGTGCTTTAGCCAACCGGCGCTCCGCTCGTTGTTGTGAGCGTCGCTCCTCCGCCCTCCGTTGTTGTTGGAGGGCGACTGCCTCCAACTGCCCAGTAGCATCCTTCACGAGCCTCCTCCAGAGGCCGATTTTGACACCGCTGGTACCACTCATCACTCAGCTCCACATCCTCCTGTACCACATCACTCCATCTCTTCTCTTGGCCCGTGCCGCACCTGTTTAGCCCCCTCAATCTGGCCAAACAAAAGCTGTTTGTGCATGCGGTGATTGGGCATGCGAGCTACATGGCCCAGCCAACGCAGCCTTGCCTGCCGGAGGTGCTGACCAATGGGACTTTGTCCAGATCTTTCGAAGATTTGTGAGCTCCTCGCACAATCCAGCCTGGTTAAACCCGGGATTTATCGTAGGTAGGCCAGCCTAAATGTTTCTAACCGGTGAAGATGTTCCATTAGCGGGGTCCACGTTTCTCAAGCGTAGAGAAGGGAGGGAATGACTGTGGCCGAGAAAACACATACATACACTCACCCATCCACACTCACTCACCCAGACCCACCCACACTCACTCACCCAGACCCACCCATACTCACCCACCCAGACCCACCCACACGAACCCAGACCCACCCACACTCACGAACCCAGACCCACCCACCCAGACCCACCCACTCACCTACCCAGACCCACCCACTCACCTACCCAGACCCACTCACTCACCCACCCTAACCCAGACCCACCCACTCACCTACCCAGACCTACCCACACGCACTCACTCACCCATTTACCCACTCACGCCCACTAACCAACCCGCCCATTCACCCACGAACCCACCCAGCAGCCCACTCACTCTCTCTATATAACAGGCACAGAACACAAACTCCACACCCACTCACTCTGGTGGTAGTAGTGATGATGATGGTAGTAGTGATGATGATGGTAGTAGTGATGATGGTAGCGATAACGGTAGCGATGATGGTAGTGGTGGCGGTGATGGTAGTGGTGGCAGTGATGGTAGTGATGGCAGTGGTAGCGGTAGTAGTGGTGGCGATGGTAGTGGTGGTGATAGTAGTGGTGGCGGTAGTAATGGTGATGGTAGTAGTGGTGATAGTAATGGTGGCGGTAGTGGTGGTGATGGTAGTGATGGTAGTGGTGATGTTGGTGGTAGTGGTGATGGTGGTAGGGTTGGTGGTGGTCGTTGTGGTGAATACCTGAACGGTGATTTGGTAACAAACTGAAATGTGATTTGGTGAATAAGTGAACTCATTTGGTGAAATCTGATTTGGTGAGGAACTGAACTGTGATTTGGTGAGGAGCTGAAATGTGATTTGGTGAGGGGCTAAAATGGTGAACTGAACCGATTTGGTGAGGAGCTGAAATGTGATTTGGTGAGGAGCTGAACAGTGATCTGGTGAGGAGCTGAAATGGTGAACTGAACTGATTTGGCGAGGAGCTGGACTGTGAAGGAGGGGGACAAGCCTGTCCCACCCAATGGGAGTTTTAACCCTAAGAGCCGAGTGTCGATACAGGGTTCACCATCACCGTGTCCGAGACTATGAGCTGGCAAGGCCGAGAGGTTGGGTTTAACAATGACGCTGTGTCTCTTGCGTCTCTCTCAGGGGGTTCCATAAGGGGCCGTGTAGGATCTAAACCTGGTCTCATCCCATACAGACCTCATGCCCATACAGAACCCTTCTTATCCCATACATAACCCACGTCTCATCCCATACAGACCTCATGCCCATACATAACCCACGTCTCATGCCCATACAGAACCCACGTCTCATCCCATACAGACCTCATGCCCATACAGAACCCTTCTTATCCCATACAGAACCCACGTCTCATCCCATACAGACCTCATGCCCATACATAACCCACGTCTCATGCCCATACAGAACCCACGTCTCATCCCATACAGACCTCATGCCCATACAGAACCCTTCTTATCCCATACAGAACCCACGTCTCATCCCATACAGACCTCATGCCCATACATACCCCTCGTCTCATCCCATACAGAACCCACGTCTCATTTCATACAGACCTCATGCCCATACAGAACCCACGTCTCATGCCCATACAGAACCCACGTCTCATCCCATACAGACCTCATGCCCATACAGAACCCACGTCTCATCCCATACAGAACCCACGTCTCATCCCATACAGACCTCATGCCCATACAGAACCCTTCTTATCCCATACAGAACCCACGTCTCATCCCATACAGACCTCATGCCCATACAGAACCCTTCTTATCCCATACAGAACCCACGTCTCATCCCATACAGACCGCATGCCCATACAGAACACACACGTCACATCCCCACACAGAACCCTCTCCACACAGTGTTAGTTTTCATCAGAAAATAAACCGAATCTAAACGACGACAACAACAAAAAAACCACCCATGACATTGGGTACTTTAGGACGCGTCCACTAGAAATGCGAGTGGTTCCTACTTATTCCTTTGCCGAAACCTCTCTCCCCCTCGTCCCATCCCATCTTTCTCTCTCTTTAAAACAAAAAAAAAACTTAACACTGAGCCACGATGAGCGTGGGAGGATGAAAATGAAACCGGCACGGCCTTCGCGACAGTCTCCACCAGCGGGGTTCCAAACGGCGGCCCATCACAAGCCAACCCTCTTGGAGTGTACGCGGGTGGCCATATTGGGCCTGGGGGTGGCGGCGGTCATCTTGGACAAGGGGTTGTTGACGGCGGTGGCCATCTTGGACAAGGGGCTGTCGGTGGCAGACATCTTGGACAAGGGGCTGTCCGCGGTGGCCATCTTGGACAAAGGGGGGTTTGTCGCCGGTGGCCATCTTGGACAAAGGGGGTTTGTCGCCGGTGGCCATCTTGGACAATCGGCGGTGGCCATCTTGGACGAGTGGGTTGTCGGCGGTGGCCATCTTGGACAAGGGGGGGGGGGGTGGGCGTTAACGGTGGCCATCTTGAGTAATGTTGTCAACACGTCCTTAAGTCCTTGTGACGGCCATCTTAAATCGAAACCAAATGTCTTTAGAACTGCTTTTTGTGTTTAGTTTGTTGTCCTTCCGCCGCACCTCCGATTAGCGCGGTTTGGCTACGTTCGGTGCCAAAAGAAGTTCAACGTACAATACATACAAGGTTGGCAGCCATCTCGAGCAGGGTCGGCGGCCATCTTGAACAAGGTCGGCGGCCATCTTGAGCATGGTCGACGGCCATCTTGAGCAGGGCAGCCGCCTTGAGCGAGGTCGGCGGCCATTTTGAGTAAGGTTGTCAACGGACCCCTAGGGTCCTGGTGGGTGGCCATCTTCGCTCTCCCTCAGAGGCGGTATGCTGGGGCAGCCTCCTTCAATGTTTTTTTTTTAACGAGTGGGGCGGCCATCTTGGTACTGGTCACATGATAACCAGCAGGGTGGGGGGGCGGAGGGGGCGGGGGGGGACATCATCGGCCCGTCTCGCTCTTTCCGTTCGTCGGTCGGCCATCCTCTTCTATAGCCGGCAATTGACGTTGAAAATCACTTGTTTGATGTATCTCTCCTCGTTCTCTCTCTCTCTCCATCTGTGCCTCTCCTCACCGTGTGTACGCTCACACCGCCGCTGGTCTGCGACGTCTGCAGTTGTGATGTCAGCGGCACAGCCACCTTGCTACGCGGTGCCCAGATGCGGCCTGGATAGGCCTCCTCCTCTAGGCCTGACAGCATCTGCGTACAGAGAGGTGTCATCTGTGGTGAGCCTGTGGGTCACTGTGTGGTCAGTCTATGGGTTTCTGTGTGCTTGAGTCTGTGGGTCTCTGTGTGGTTGAGTCTGTGCGTGTTGTGATTCTGTGGGTCTTTGTGTGGTGAGTCTGTGGGTCTCTGTGTGGTGAGTCTATGGGCCTCTGTGTGGTGAGTCTGTGGGTCTGTGTGGTGAGTCTACGAGTCTCTGTGGTGAGCCTGTGGGTCTGTGTGGTTGAATCTGTGGGTCTCTGTGTGGTGAGTCTATGGGCCTCTGTGTGGTGAGTCTATGGGCCTCTGTGTGGTGAGTCCATGGGTCTCTGTGTGGTATGTGAGTCTGTGTGGTGAGTCTATGGGTCTCTTTGGTGAGCCTGTGGGTCTGTGTGGTTGAGTCTGTGGGTCTGTGTGGTTGAGTCTGTGGGTCTCTGTGTGGTGAGCCTGTGGGTCTCTGTGTGGTGAGTCTATGGGCCTCTGTGTGGTGAGCCCGTGGGTCTCTGTGTGGTTGAATCTGTGGGTCTCTGTGTGGTGAGTCTATGGGCCTCTGTGTGGTGAGTCCATGGGTCTCTGTGTGGTGAGTATGTGAGTGAGTGTGTGTTAGTACCTCGGCTCACTACTGTCAGTACATGGGGAAGTAGGTGGGTCCAGGAGCAGGGATGGGTGCTGGTATCTGCCCGGCGATTTGCCCGGTTAGCTGTCCCACACAGCACATCTCCTTAGCTGCACACACACACAGACACATACACAAATGTAGCCTTAACAGACTGCTGGGGCAGGTGCTGTTAGTAGCGAGTAGGAGCAGCAGCGAATATGAAGGCCACAACTTTGGCACACGCAGAGGAGGTGGGTGGCCAGCACCACTCACACATCCACTCACTACACACCACACACCACACACACACCCACACACGTCCACTCGCTCACCACACATGCACTCGCTAGACACAAAGACGGAGGGTCCCCCCCGTGTAGCCGCAACAGACTGTTGGGGGCAAGCAGCAGCAGCAGCAGCAGCAGCGGCGGCACCTATGAAGGCCGGCACTGTGAGACACGCAGAGGGGGTGGGTGGCCAGAGCCACCACACCTGCCCGGCCACACCACTCCCCACCCCCAACGTGGCGATGTTCACTGCACAATTCCGCAGCCAGATACTCATTGGAGGCCGAAGCCGACCTAGGGGAGGAGGTTCTGGGAATCGCTGTCAGTGGAGTTGGCCGTGAGTGGGAATTGAACTCGGGTCTATGTCGGGGTTTGTAGCAGCGCAGGGCATCGCTAACCCCTGTGTGTGCCACCGCTCCCCACCACACACACACACACACGTAGCGCCTTCAACAGACTGTTGGAGCAAGTGATGTTAACACAGAGACACACACGTACAGACACGTAAACACGCACACACAAAAGGCCAAGAAGTCCACACTGTGTGTGTGTGTGTACACTGTGTGTGTGTGAGTACACTGTGTGTGTGTACACCGCGTGTGTGTGAGTACACTGTGTGTGTGTACACCGCGTGTGTGTGTGTACACTGTGTGTGTGTACACTGTGTGCGTGCACACTGTGCGCGTGTACACTGTGCGTGTGTGAGTACACTGCGTGTATGAGTACACTGCGTGTGTACACTGTGTATGAGTACACTGTGTGTGTACACTGCGTGTGTGTGTGAGGACACTGCGTGTGTCCACTGTGTGTGTACACTGCGCGTGTGTACATTGCGCGTGTGTACACTACGTGTGTGTGTACACTGTGTGTGTGTACACTGTGTGTGTACACTGTGTGTGTGTACACTGTGTGTGTGTACACTGTGTGTGTACACTGTGTGTGTGTGAGTACACTGTGTGTGTGTGTGTGAGTACACTGCGTGTGTGTGTACACTGCGTCTGTACACTGTGTGTGTGTACACTGTGTGTGTGTGTGTACACTGTGTGTGTGTGTACACTGTGTGTGTGTGTACACTGTGTGTGTGTGTGTCTGTACGGTGTGTGTGCGTTTACACTGTGTGTGTGTGTACACTGCGTGTGTGTACACTGCGTGTGTCCACTGTGTGTGTGTGTACACTGTGTGTGTGTACACTGTGTGTGTGTACACTGTGTGTGTGTACACTGTGTGTGTACACTGTGTGTGTACACTGTGTGCGTACACTGTGTGCGTGTGTGTACAGTGTGTGTGTGTACACTGTGTGTGTGTCTGCACAGTGTGTGTGCGCGTACACTGTGTGTGTGTAAACTGCGTGTGTCCACTGTGTGTGTGTACACTGTGTGTGTGTGTGTACACTGTGTGTGTACACTGTGTGTGTGTACACTGTGTGTGTACACTGTGTGTACACTGTGTGTGTGTACACTGTGTGTGTATGTGTGTGTATGTGTGTGTACACTGTGTGTGTACACTGTGTGTGTACACTGTGTGTGTGTACACTGTGTGTGTGTGTGTACACTGTGTGTGTACACTGTGTGCGCGCGCGTGTACTCACGGGAGACCATGCCCTTGTTGCAGATGTTGCACACGTGCGTGGGCCTCTCAGCGTGCACCTTGAGGTGCTCGGGCAGCTGCGAGGCGTTGAGCTGCTTGCCGCACACGTGACACGCCACCTTCTCCTCGTGGCGTCCCATGTGGGAGCGCAGGCGGTCCTTGGTGGCGAACGCCGCCTCGCACGACTGCCGCCGGGGCCGCACGGACACGAGACCACAACAGAGGCGACACGGACAGGCTGGTACCAACACCACCACCAACACCACCAACACCACATTCAACAACGCCGCATCGTACGACATGGACAGACCACCACCACCACAACCACCACGGCATGGACAGACCACCACCACCACGACTACCACCACCACGACATGGACAGACCACCACCACCACCACCACGACCACAACCACCACGGCATGGACAGACCACCACCACCACGACCACCACCACCACGACATGGACAGACCACCACCACTACCACCACGACCACCACGACGACATGGACAGACCACCACCATGACCACCACCACCACGACGACATGGACAGACCACCACGACCACCACCATGACGACATGGACAGACCACGACCACCACCACGGCATGGACAGACCACCACCACCATCACGACATGGACAGACCACCACCACGACCACCACCACCACGACCACCACCACCACGACCACCACCACCACGACCACCACCACCACGACCACCACCACCATGACATGGACAGACCACCACCACGACCACCACCACCACGACATGGACAGACCACCACCACGACCACCACCACCACGACCACCACCACCACGACCACCACCACCATGACATGGACAGACCAGCACCATGACCACCACCACCACGACCACCACCACCACGACATGGACAGACCACCACCATGACCATCACCACCACGACCACCACCACCACGACATGGACAGACCACCACCATGACCATCACCACCATGACATGGACAGACCACCACCACGACCACCACCACCACGACCACCACCACCACGACCACCACCACCATGACATGGACAGACCAGCACCATGACCACCACCACCACGACCACCACCACCACGACATGGACAGACCACCACCATGACCATCACCACCACGACCACCACCACCACGACATGGACAGACCACCACCATGACCATCACCACCATGACATGGACAGACCACCACCACGACCACCACCACCACGACATGGACAGACCACCACCACGACCACCACCACGACCACCACCACCACGACATGGACAGACCACCACCACGATCACCACCACGACATGGACAGACCACCACCACGACCACCACCACCACGACATGGACAGACCACCACCACGACCACCACCACCACGACCACCACCACCATGACATGGACAGACCACCACCATGACCACCACCACCACGACCACCACCACCACGACATGGACAGACCACCACCATGACCATCACCACCACGACCACCACCACCACGACATGGACAGACCACCACCACCACGACCACCACCACCACGACATGGACAGACCACCACCATGACCACCACCACCACGACCACCACCACCACGACATGGACAGACCACCACCATGACCATCACCACCACGACCACCACCACCACGACATGGACAGACCACCACCATGACCATCACCACCATGACATGGACAGACCACCACCACGACCACCACCACCACGACATGGACAGACCACCACCACGACCACCACCACCACGACATGGACAGACCACCACCACGACCACCACCACGACCACCACCACCATGACATGGACAGACCACCACCACGACCACCACCACCATGACATGGACAGACCACCACCACGATCACCACCACGACATGGACAGACCACCACCACGACCACCACCACCACGACATGGACAGACCACCACCACGACCACCACCACCACGACCACCACCACGACATGGACAGACCACCACCACGACCACCACCACCACGACATGGACAGACCACCACCACGACCACCACCACCACGACCACCACCACGACATGGACAGACCACCACCACGACCACCACCACCACGACATGGACAGACCACCACCACGACCACCACCACGACATGGACAGACCACCACCATGACCACCACGACATGGGACATACCACCACCATGACCACCACCATGACATGGACAGACCACCACCACGATCACCACGACAACCACCGCCACCACCACATAGACAAGGACATCAACAATGCCACATCGTCGACATGGACAGACTGCCACCACCACTACCGCTTAAACAAACAACATCAACAACGCGGCGTCCAAAGGCTGCCACGACTGGCGCCACCGCATAGACACAGACGACATAGACACAGACGACATAGACACAGACATAGACACGACAGACACAGACGACACAGACACAGACGACACAGACATAGACACAGACGACACAGACACAGACGACATAGACACAGACGACATAGACACAGACGACATAGACACAGACATAGACACGACAGACACAGACGACACAGACACAGACGACACAGACATAGACACAGACGACACAGACACAGACGACATAGACACAGACGACACAGACACAAATGACACAGACACAGACGACACAGACGACACAGACGACACAGACACAGACGACATAGACACAAGATGACATAGACACAGACGACAGACATAGACACAGACGACACAGACACAGACGACATAGACACAAGACGACATAGACACAGACGACATAGACGACACAGACACAGACGACACAGACACAGACGACACAGACACAGACAAAGACACAGACGACATAGACACAAGACGACATAGACACAGACGACATAGACACATACAACACAGACACAGACGACATAGACACAGACGACATAGACACAGACGACATAGACACAGACACAGATGACACAGACAAAGACGACATAGACACGAGACGACATAGACACAGACGACATAGACACAGACGACATAGACACAAGACGACAAAGACACGGACGACAGACTACATCATCAACATCATCCACAGCCTGGCACCACCACGACATCAACACCGTGACATCAACACCGTGACATCAACACCGTGACATCATCAACGTGACATCAACAACGTGACATCAACACCGTGACATCAACACCGTGACATCAACACCGTGACATCAACAACGTGACATCAACAACGTGACATCAACAACGTGACATCAACAACGTGACATCAACAATAACATCGTCAACATCGTCATCATCATCCACAGCCTGGCACCACCACGACATCAACAACGTGACATCAACAACGTGACATCAACACCGTGACATCAACACCGTGACATCAACAACGTGACATCAACAACGTGACAACAACGTGACATCAACACCGTGACATCAACACCGTGACATCAACACCGTGACATCAACACCGTGACATCAACAACGTGACATCAACAACGTGACATCAACACCGTGACATCAACAATAACATCGTCAACATCGTCATCATCATCCACAGCCTGGCACCACCACGACATCAACACCGTGACATCAACACCGTGACATCAACACCGTGACATCAACAACGTGACATCAACACCGTGACATCAACAACGTGACATCAACAACGTGACATCAACAACGTGACATCAACAACGTGACATCAACAATAACATCGTCAACATCGTCATCATCATCCACAGCCTGGCACCACCACGACATCAACAACGTGACATCAACACCGTGACATCAACAACGTGACATCAACACCGTGACATCAACAATAACATCGTCAACATCATCCACAGCCTGGCACCACCACGACATCAACACCGTGACATCAACGATAACATCGTCAACATCGTCGACAGACTCGCACCAATACCAACACCCGCGCCATTCACCACTAAAGCGACGGTGACATCACCACGGCGCCTGTGCCAGGCCAGGTGCACTTTTGAGTGCCGCCACGTGAAGTGTTGAAGGCTCGCTGCTGACAGGAGGTCCGAGGACAGACCCAGCAGGTGCCATGGGTTGGCAGACTGAGATGTCCGGTAGATGCACCGCCAGCTGTACCCCCCCCTTACTGTGCCAACTTGCTGAATTTTAGCAGCCCGGCGCACCGCCCGTTGTTGCGAGCGTCGCTCCTCCGCCCGTTGTTGCGAGCGTCGCTCCTCCGCCCTCCGCTGCTCTTGCTGGAGGGGCGACTGCCTCAAACTGCCCAGAGGCAGCGTCCTTCACGAGCCTCCTCCACAGAGGCCCGATGCTGACACCGCCGGTACCGGCGGTCGTCGGCAAGTCCACTCAGCTCTACAACCTGCTGCTGATGCTATCGTAGGCCTTGACCAGGTCAATAAAGCAGAGATGTAGGTCCTGCTGGAACTGCCTACACCTCTGCTGTAGCAGACGGACAGAGAACATGGCATCCGTGGAGGACCGCCCTGGTCTGAAACCGCATATGGGGCTCCGCAAGCCTCTCCTCGGCGTGCCTGGCAAGGCGATGATGTTGTTGTTGTTGAATAATCCTTGCCCAGGACCTTTTCCCGGGCCCTCACACTGAGGAGCGAGATGCCCCTGTCGTCGTTACAGTCTGTGCGGTCCCCCCCCCCCCCCCCCCTCTTTAACGAGGGGGACACCCCCCCCACCAGGGCATCCTTCAAGTCCCCGCGGAACCCGTCCAGCGGTCCAGACTCCTGTTGTTATGACGTCACGTAGGCCAGTCGGGCGCACAAACGCCGCCACCCTCCCCTCTCAGCATTTCGCTTCGCGAGACCACCTCTGCCCGGCGCTTTTTCTCGTCTCAAAGACTCCGGATCACGCCGACCAATCAGAAGGGGGTGGACCTACTTGCACCTTGCCCCATGACGTTGCCGGTCCGCAATAAAGCTTTTTTGGGGGGGGGGGGGGGGGCTAGATCGCGCCGTTCACGAATCCGTCGCAACACGACACCGCCAATCGGCAAAGGAAACGCGTCACGTTGACAAAAGACAAAAAAATAGCCCACTACTTTAGCCCACTACTTTAGCCCACCGGCGTGTTGACGAGCGAATGAATCCACAACATTTAACGCGCGGTTTGTTTTTTGTTTGTTTTTTTAGCACCGCGACGTTTCGCTGGTAAATTACGTCCAGCGTCAATCGTCCGGGGGGCAATTTGCCCGGTCGCGTCATCATTTAACCAAATCATGTCGTCGCTGCCCGAGGGAATTCCCCTCGTACCCAAAACCTCACAAATGCTCTGCAAACCCTGCAGACCTGTTTCCTGGGGGTCGGAAAATCGGATTGCCACGATAGGACGAGGCGCTGCAAGCAACTTTTTTTTTGATGGAATGTAAGAGTTATTCGTGATTGCGGGCTACCGAGTTAAGATTCCATCTCCTCAGCAACCTGCACCTCAACAGATGGCACCTCAGGACAGCCACTCGACAGGGGGCCGAAGACTTCCTCTTACAATATCTGAGGCACCGCAGCCCTCAGCAGGGTCATCCCCCGCTTTGTCCCACGATGTTTTCCCATGCCGAGGGATTTCCCCTTCCCCCAGGACCTCAGAGAAACGCTCAGCAAATCTGCAAACCTGTTCCTTCCTGGGGGTCGGAGATTGGATCGCCGTTTTTTTTTCTTCCAATAATTGAGGGTAATAGGTGTGGCGCTGCAGGTTACTTTTTTGATGGAATTAAAGGGTGATTTGTGATCGCGGGCCACTGAGGCAGACTCCGTCTCCTCAGCAACCCGCGACCACCACCCAATCCTTGCAGCGCCTCACGGCTCTCCGAACCTCCGAGCGAAGGCTGCGGTTAAGCCTCCCCCATTCTCAGACGTTGGATTTTGCAGACGACGCTGGGGGGGGAGGGGGAGCCTGTTGCTTTCTCTCCACCAGCCGGAACACCTCCTCCTTCAGCCAGCCTATCTGGGGAGGTTACGTACCGTGTACCCAGGTCTCAGGAGCCAGGATTTCAGGCCGGGGTGACGTTCAACAAAATGTGAATTTCAAGAATGATTCAGAGAGGTCAGGCTGTTGAACCAGACGCCATCGGTTGGCGGACACGCGCTCTGACGGTGCAGTTGCTCCGAGTCCGCCAGACCGAGTGTCGTACACTTACACGCAGAGAAGATTGTCACCCCTGTCGCCCACCCCGGCTCCCGCCCCCTGCGCGTACCCAAAGCAGCCGTTGCAGCTGTTCTGAACCTTACCCATTTTCCCCTCGGCATCGGGAAGGAGGGGCTTGGGGCACGACGCTAACCCCCAGCTGCAAGCGATGTGGAAATTCCCGCTTGCAACTATCCTCGGCTAGCCGAGACCAGGCCACCGTGGGGGTTTGACACCACCACAGACATGGTCAACATCACACGATTGGCACGACCACCACAGACAATCGACATCACACGACCACCCACAGACATGGTCAACATCACACGATTGGCACGACCACCACAGACATCGTCGACATCACACGACCACCCACAGACATGGTCAACATCACACGATTGGCACGACCACCACAGACATCGTCGACATCACACGACCACCACAGACATGGTCAACATCACACGATTGGCACGACCACCACAGACGATCGACATCACACGACCACCACAGACATGGTCAACATCACACGATTGGCACGACCACCACAGACAATCGACATCACACGACCACCCACAGACATGGTCAACATCACACGATTGGCACGACCACCACAGACAGACATCACACGACCACCACAGACATGGTCAACATCACACGATTGGCACGACCACCACAGACAATCGACATCACACGACCACCACAGACATGGTCAACATCACACGATTGGCACGACCACCACAGACAATCGACATCACACGACCACCCACAGACATGGTCAACATCACACGATTGGCACGACCACCACAGACAATCGACATCACACGACCACCCACAGACATGGTCAACATCACACGATTGGCACGACCACCACAGACAGACATCACACGACCACCCACAGACATGGTCAACATCACACGATTGGCACGACCACCACAGACAGACATCACACGACCACCCACAGACATGGTCAACATCACACGATTGGCACGACCACCACAGACAATCGACATCACGCGACCACCACAGACATGGTCAACATCACACGATTGGCACGACCACCACAGACATCGTCGACATCACACGACCACCCACAGACATGGTCAACATCACACGATTGGCACGACCACCACAGACAATCGACATCACACGACCACCCACAGACATGGTCAACATCACACGATTGGCACGACCACTACAGACAATTGACATCACACGACCACCCACAGACATGGTCAACATCACACGATTGGCACGACCACCACAGACAATCGACATCACACGACCACCCACAGACATGGTCAACATCACACGAGTGGCACGACCACCACAGACAATCGACATCACACGACCACCCACAGACATGGTCAACATCACACGATTGGCACGACCACCACAGACAATCGACATCCCGCTACCACCACAGACATCGTCAACATCACACGATTGGCACGACCACCACAGACAATCGACATCACACGACCACCCACAGACATGGTCAACATCACACGATTGGCACGACCACCACAGACAATCGACATCACACGACCACCCACAGACATGGTCAACATCACACGAGTGGCACGACCACCACAGACAATCGACATCACACGACCACCCACAGACATGGTCAACATCACACGATTGGCACGACCACCACAGCCATCGACATCACACGACCACCCACAGACATGGTCAACATCACACGATTAGCACGACCACCACAGACAATCGACATCACACGACCACCACAGACATCGTCAACATCATACGATTGGCACGACCACTACAGACAATCGACATCACACGACCACCCACAGACATGGTCAACATCACACGATTGGCACGACCACCACAGACAATCGACATCACACGACCACCCACAGACATGGTCAACATCACACGATTGGCACGACCACCACAGACATGGTCAACATCACACGACCACCACAGACATCGTCAACATCACACGATTGGCACGACCACCACAGACTGGGGTCTCACCTGGCACTTGTAGGGTCTCTCCATGGTGTGCACTTGTCTGACGTGGTTATTGAGGTGGTCGGGTCTGCGGGGTGGGGTGGGGTGGGACACACACACACACACGCAGAAACACACACACACGCACACACGCAGACGAACACACAAAGACAAACAGGCACACACGGACAAACATAGAGGCAGGCACGGACAACGGCGAACAGGCACACACGGACAAACAAACAAGCGCACACACACACACAGAGACAAAGACGACCAGGCACAGGACAAACACACAGGCACAGACAAACACGCAGACATCCACAACAAACGAGGACGGACACACAACAACAACAACAACAGACACACGCAGACAAACGCATTGACACGGACAGATGCCCACAAGTACCAATACACAGACACACACACACACACAGACATACACACACACACGCACAGACACGTAGACAGACACGCGTGCACACACACGGGCACACTCACACTTAAACACACACACACAAATATATGAAGAAACACACACACACACGTACACACACACACACGCACAATTAAAACACTTCAACACAACGCACGGAAACACACGTGCACACACGTGCACGGACACACGCAGTTACACACACACACACACGTACGTACGTATGCACACACACTCACACAGAGACACACACAGAAGTACGCTCGCGCACGCACGCACACACACGTACACAGACACACATGCACACATATTATATTATAAGTAAACAATATATATTTAAACATCACTGTAATCCGATTGCAATCACACGCTACACTCCATTTAGTATGTGCACGAGTGTGCTTCCGTGTGCGGGTTGTGTACATCGGCGCGTGTGATTGCGTACACGTGCATTTGTGTGCGTGTGTGCGTGTGTGTGTGTGGGGAGCGGTAAGTGTGGCAATTTGCGTGCCGTGCTATGAATCGGGCGACCCGAGTTCGATTGATTCCCCGCTCGCGGCCACCCCAACACCGACGACGGCGATTATCTGAACCGGCTCTGGGCCTCCCCTAGGTCGACTCGGCCCACGGACGAGCACCTGGCGCGGTTGTGCGTTAACCATCGCCGCCGGCGGGGGAAAAAAAGGCGGCGGCTGGGGCGTGGTGCCGGCCACCAAACCCCCGGTGTGCCGGAGTGCCGGGGCCAGCCTTCACAGGCTGCTGCTGCTGCTGCTGCTACTCGCTACCGACAGCAGCGCTTGCCCCCCTACGGTCTTGCCAAGGCTACACACGGGGGGGGGGGGGGATGGATCTTTGTGCACGTGCATGAGAGCATGAGAGCATGAGAGAGAGCGAGCGGTGGCGGAGCTGTTAGCGATGCACTGCGCTTACTCTTTGGCTCTATTGGGCAAAGTCACGCGGGTAAAAAAGTAAAAAATAAAATAACAAAAAAATCACGACGTTTCAGGCCACAGCACAAGCGGCCTTCGCCAGGTGAAGGGACTGGACTGTCCACTCGTGTTGTGGCCTGAAACGTTGTGATTTTTTTGGGCCATTTTTTTTTGTTTTTTTGTTTTACACACCCACTACGCACGCGACTTTGCCCGAACAGAACCCAAGAGCGTGGAGGACCCCTTGCAGTCACGAAGGCTTCAAAATCTGGCGATGCACTGCGCTACTTTGAACCCGGCGGGGGAGCCGGGTTTCGATTCCCGCCTCAAGGGCCACCAACACAGAGTGGTGACACGGTCCCCCCGGCCTCTCCGACGTCTCGAATCAGCCTCCAAATAGTGCCAGTGTGCAGTGGTAAACATCGCCATTGGGGGGGGGGGAGAGACAAAGGCGGCCGGGCATACGTGGTACTGGCCACCCACCCCCCTACATAGGCGCCTACTGCTACTCGCTACTAACAGCACTTTCAGCCTGTTCAGAGGCTACACGGGACACATTTGTCTTTGTGTGTAACAGAGTGTGCATATGCTGTGAGTGCGTATATTTGTGCATGCGAGTGTACGTACGTGTGCGTGTACAAATGTACGTGTGTGTGTGTGCGCGCGTGTGCACACACATTCATATGCATGCGCGTGTGACATCATAGGGTTCAGTGTGAATGATCGAGACTCAAGAGGGAGGGGCTAAGTCACCTATCAATATCTTAGTGGTTCAGCGTTGAAGACTGAGAGGCTCACAGAGCCAGCCTAAGTCACCTATCAATATCTTAGTGGTTCAGTGTTAATGACCGAGGCACCTATCAATATCTTGGGGGTTCAGCGTTAAAGACTGAGAAGCTCATAGAACCAGCCTAAGGCACCTATAATTGAGCGAATCATATCTCTCTAACTAGCCAATGACTGCCCTAACTAATGATCACCTTAACTAGCCAATGACTTCCCTAATGATCGCCCTAACAAGCTAAAGACTTCACTAACTAATGATCACCCTAACCAGCCAATGACTGCTCTAACTAATGATCACCCTAACTAGCCAATGACTGTCCTAACTAATGATCACCCTAACTAGCCACTGACTGCCCTAACTAATGATCACCCTAACTAGCCAATGACTTCACTAACTAATGATTGCGATAACTAGCCAATGACTGTCCTAAATAATGATTGCCCTAACTAGCCAATGACTGTCCTAATGATTGCCCTAACCAGCCAATGACTGCCCTAACTAATGATCACCCTAACTAGCCAATGACTGTCCTAACTAATGATTGCCCTAACTAGCCAATGACTTCCCTAACTAATGATCACCCTCACTAGCCAATGACTGCCCTAATGATTGCGATAACTAGCCAATGACTGTCCTAACTAATGATCACCCTCACTAGCCAATGACTGTCCTAACTAATGATTGCGCTAACTAGCCAATGACTGTCCTAGCTAATGACTGCCCTAATGATTGCCCTAACTAGCCAATGACTGTCCTAACTAATGATCACCCTCACTAGCCAATGACTGCCCTAACTAATGATCACCCTCACTAGCCAATGACTGTCCTAACTAATGATCACACTCACTAGCCAATGACTGCCCTAATGATCGCCCTAACTAGCCAATGACTGTCCTAACTAATGATTGCCCTAACTAGCCAATGACTGTCCTAACTAATGATCACCCTCACTAGCCAATGACTGTCCTAACTAATGATCACACTCACTAGCCAATGACTTCCCTAATGATTGCCCTAACTAGCCAATGACTGCCCTAACTAATCATCACCCTCACTACCCAATGACTGTCCTAACTAATGATTGCCCTAACCAGCCAATGACTGCCCTAACTAATGATCACCCTCACTAGCCAATGACTGCCCTAATGATCACCCTCACTAGCCAATGACTGCCCTAATGATCACCCTAACTAGTCAATGACTGTCCTAACTAATGATCACCCTAACTAGCCAATGACTTCCCTAATGATTGCCCTAACTAGCCAATGACTGCCCTAACTAATGATTGCCCTAACCAGCCAATGACTGCTCTAATGAATGCCCTAACTAGCCAATGACTGCCCTAACTAAAGATTCCCCTAACCAGCCAATGACTGCCCTAAAGATTCCCCTCACTAGCCAATGACTGTCCTAACTAATGATCACCCTTACTAGCCAATGACTGCCCTAATGATTGCCCTAACCAGCCAATGACTGCCCTAATGATCACCCTAACTAGCCAATGACTGCCCTAACTAATGATCACCCTCACTAGCCAATGACTTCCCTAATGATTGCCCTAACTAGCCAATGGCTGCCCTAACTAATGATTGCCCTAACCAGCCAATGACTGTCCTAACTAATGATTGCCCTAACCAGCCAATGACTGCCCTAACTAATGATCACCCTAACTAGCCAATGACTTCCCTAATGATTGCGTTAACTAGCCAATGACTGCCCTAATGATTGCCCTAACTAGCCAATGACTGCCCTAACTAATGATTGCCCTAACCAGCCAATGACTGCCCTAATTATCATCCTAACTAGCCAATGACTGCCCTAACTAATGATCACCCTAACTAGCCAATGGCTTCCTAATGATTGCCCTAGCTAGCCAATGACTGCCCTAATGATCACCCTAACTAGCCAATGACTGCCCTAACTAATGATCACCCTCACTAGCCAATGACTGTCCTAACTAATGATCACCCTAACTAGCCAATGACTGCTCTAATGATTGCCCTAACCAGCCAATGACTGTCCTAACTAATGATTGCCCTAACCAGCCAATGACTGCCCTAACTAATGATCACCCTAACTAGCCAATGACTTCCCTAATGATCACCCTAGCTAGCCAATGACTGCCCTAACTAATGATTGCCCTAACCAGCCAATGACTGTCCTAACTAATGATTGCCCTAACCAGCCAATGACTGCCCTAACTAAAGATCCCCCTAACCAGCCAATGACTGCCCTAACTAAAGATTCCCCTAACCAGCCAATGACTGCTCTAATGATTGCCCTAACCAGCCAATGACTGCCCTAACTAAAGATCCCCCCTAACCAGCCAATGACTGCCCTAACTAATGATCACCCTAACTAGCCAATGACTGCCCTAACTAATGATCACCCTAACTAGCCAATGACTTCCCTAATGATTGCGTTAACTAGCCAATGACTGCCCTAACTAATGATCACCCTCACTAGCCAACGACTGTCCTAACTAATGATTGCCCTAACCAGCCAATGACTGCTCTAACGATTGCCCGAACCAGCTATCCGGTGCCCGAAACGAGCCAATTCGCCTCCCCTGACCGACGATTTCCCTGCGACGTCTTTAACGGTCGCCCCTGACCTAGCCAGTACGTGCCCACCCCCCCCCCCCCCCGCCGCTAACTCGCTTACATCTGCCCTAAGCTAGCGAGTGCCCCGACTTTCCACAGGTCCCCAACGATCGCCCGCGAAACGAGCCAGCGATCGTTCCTCACGAGCGAGCAATGAGCTCCTCCATCCCGACGGCCGCCACTCACCACCAGGCTGAGGGGGACTTGCCTGGCCATCTAGCTAAACCAGCTAAACCAGCTAAACCAGCTAAACTAGCTAAACCAGCTAAACCAGCTAAACCAGCTAAATCGCCGGCCCCCCCTTAACTAGCGGCACTGCCCTCCTAGCGACCC